GAATGACACTGGCATTAGACCTTCCTTCTGCAACATTCAACACTTCAAGACGAGAGTAATGTCACAGAGTTCCTGTGCAAGAGTATAAATAAGACATTTGGACATGTAACAAGTTAAGAAGTATATCACTCATGTTCATTTTTTTTTAAAAAGATGTATTGATTTGGGGGGGAGAGAGAGAGAGAGAGAGAGAGAGAGAGAGAGAGATCGATCATACCTGCATGCACAGGGGAAGGGGCAGAGGGAGAGGGAGAGAGAATCTCAAGCAGACTCCCTGCTGAGTGTGGAGCCTGACATGGGGCTTGATTCCACAACTCTGGGATCAGGACCTGAACCAAAATCAAGAGTCAGACACTTAACCAATTGAGCCCCCCAGGCACCCCTCACCCATGTTCATTTGTATGGAAAGATCTAAGGAAGTACTTGAGTCAAATTAAATGAATTCAAAAGTTTCTTAAATTAAGAACAGGAAAGATTTTGCATATAACTATAGTAATAATGCAAACTTATAGCTGTTAAAAAAGGATTCTGAAATAATAGAAGAATGCAATAATAATTAACTGTATCCCATATGTAATAATACTCTGAATTAAGAGTGATCAGGAATTAGAAATCCAGATTATTTCTTGGAGCTGAAAAAGGGACTGGGGAAGCACAGGCACTACCAAAGGTTAAGTTTTAACAGAGGGAAAAGGTTGAGGGAAGTCAAAGATTTAGTTAAAATTCAAGATGCCAAAAGAGAAGTCCAAATTTAAAATGTTTGTAAAAAATGTTCATTGACAACTTATAAAATAGTATGTAAAACTTCTAAGGGAAAATGAGGAAAAAGGAAACTAGATCAGACTGGTAAATTTGGGGAAATCAAAATGGGTCAAACATTAGTATATTAATGATCATAAATCCTCCTTTTAATGGCAAAGACTCTCCAATTGAGGTATATTTTAAAATCTAACCATATACTCTTTACAAGAGACATGATATGATATAAAAAATTTCAAAACAAGAGTGTGAGATACTAGAAAATATATATATATATTGGTCTCTGCCCCCAATTCCTGGCACAGAGCTCCTAAAACCCTTGCCATTTCCTAAATGATAAAAGCACCAGGAGCATCTTCTGCTCTAACATTTGGTCTTTGACCCTGATTCCTGGCACAGGGCTCCTGAAACCTTTATAATTTCCCAGGCAATAGGAGTGCCTTTTGTTCTAATGAGGCAATTCCTGGGTGGGCTCCTAGATAAAGGCTGGTCACTGCAAAGACCAGCCATGATTGGAAGCTTGGAATTTTCAGCCCTACCTTCTCTTCTCTTGAGAAGGCAGAAGGGCTCCCAATGGAGGTAATGATCCCTTATGCCTAGATCATGAAGCTGCCATAAAAATCCCAAAATACTCAGTTCAGAGAGCTTCTGGGTTGGTAATACAGGAAGTGCTGGGAGGGTGGCACACCTGGCAAGGGTATGGAAGCCAAAGACCAAAGACCCCCTCCCACACACCTTGACCTATGCCTCTGTTCCAACTGGTTGTTCATCTGTAGCCTTTATCCGGTAAATGTGTTTCCCTCAGTTCTGTGAGCTGCTCTAGAAAATTAATTGAACCCAAGGTGGGGATCTGGTGGGTCAGAAGCACAGGTGGCAACTCAGGCTTGCTACTGGCATCTGAAGTGGTAGAAGAAGCAGCCTGAGCCCTTTACCTGTGTGATCTTGTGCAATCTCCAGGTAGACGGTGTCAAAATTGTGTTAATACCCAGCTGGTGTTACAGACAATTGCTTGGTGGGGAAAAAATGCCACATATTTGATGACCAAAGCATCAGAAATGAAGTATTCTCTGTGAAGATAAAGGCACACAGGGAAGAAAGGCATAGTAGAGAAGAACTGGGTTTCTCCCTACACAGAAAGGAAAAGACTGAGTTTCTTCCATTACAAAGGGATGAACAGGACAATACAGACTAAAGTAAGCTACAAAGACAGCAGAAATGGCAATATGAATGACTATCAGGCAAAGGAGAATTTCAGCAACAACAACAAAATACATTAACCTATACATGTGAAATCTCTCATACTGTGGCCCACAGCAGAGCTGTGCTCAGGAGAAACTTAAGCTGTAAATGCTTGAAGAAATCATAAAAACAACTAAACCATATTTTTCAATTCAAAAATCAGTAGAACAAGATAAGTAAAATAAATCCTAAGAGGCCATACTAGTAAGAGTAGAAATCAAGAAGGAAACAGAAACAAAGCAAAATCTAGACACTGTTCTCTTAACCAGGCCAGGACAAATAGACCATTTGTTCATTCTGTTATTATTTATGTTCTGGGCACACACTCTAAAAACAAATGAAAAGGACAAACTCAAATACAGCTGTTTTGATTAGAAGGAGTTTAGGTTGATTAATGGCACAGATACAAACACCTATAATTGCGGGAAATCATGGATTTAAAATGAAAATCAAACCCTAAGGTAACCCACGTGCCAGAGAATGATTGACCCAATGAATATTCTGTATAAAAGCTCCCTCCTTACACCCTTGCACTTTCTGTTCCTACTATCTCGAATTCTCTTTGTCCAAAATAATCCCTGCTCAAATGCCATCTTACCAGGAACCCATGTTTGATCACCCCATTCTTCCTCCCATCCTTAGCCTGCTTTGTTTTCCTTTATATGACCATACGAAACATGTTAGTATTTCCCACCAACCCCTGGAGGAGTGGCCTGTTTTGAACACTGCTCTCTTCCAGGTGCTTAGACCATTAAAAGCATATGGCAGACTCTAGATAAATATCTGTTAGATGAAGATGTGCCACAAAATACTACTGTGTATGTAGGTGACATGGTTAGACAGGCTCTGTAACACACCCCCAATGAAGTTTTACTGTCTTTATGATCTAGATTTTTACACATATCTCAAAAGGATGCAGGACAGAAGCAAAGCCAAAGTGGCTCTCCACGCTTTGTAGACCATGGTAGACAATGTCTGGTCCCATGTCTGCTGGGATGAGGAGGGTGGTTCCTCATGGAAATCTCTAGTGATTCTCATTCACTTCTGGTTTGTAGTTACATTGTACCCAGACAAGCTCTATGGCTCCCTACTAAATTCTAAGTTCTTTAAGATCTGTTTCTTAATGATCTTTGTATAAACCAAGAGACTTAGTGTTGTGCTTGTCATGCATTCAATGGTCTACACTTTTCCCCCAATGAAGAATGAATGAAGACAAACAGCAGTCTCCACAGCCTCAGATCTGCAGGAGTGAAGGGGTTCCTGGTACCAAACCTTAAGGCCGAGACCTTCAATCTGCATCTCAGACCCTACTGCTATCATCATATATGGGACCTAACACCTGCTCAATCCTGGATCCCAACCTGACTCTGCACCCACATCTCACTACCACTCATTTCCAGTGGAGCAAAGCATTCAGGGATTAGAGCTACACGTATCTGAATTCAAATCCTACCTTTCCACTAACCAGCTGTATATTCTGGCGCAAGCTGCCACTTTATTTCTCTTTCTTTCTATCTTTCTGAGCTCAGAAACATGGCAGAGGCTGCTAACTGTCTGCCAATATCCATTCTTCTTTCTTTTATTGCCTAGGCTTCAGCTGGCCACAGAGCTGCTCAGTTAGAGAGCACAGGTCCCAAACCTTCTTTCTTGGCCGGTGGGAAATGACTAGAAGTGAGTCTTGCTATTTCTAGGGCACATTCTCCAAAAAGGAACCAAATTCTCTCTCCTCTTGCCCTTCCCCCTTCCCTCTGGCAGGAGCACGGTGGTAGAAGCTGAAGCCTTCACTTTGGATCCAGACACAAAAATCATGTAGTGAGGCAGTGGAGGTGCCCTCCGAGTCCTGGTCTGCTTATCCTAAAACTTGTTCATGAAACAGAAATAAACTTCAATCTTATTTAAACCACTGGGGTCATCATTTAGGGGTCTCTTTGTCACAAGACCTTAGACTATAATACACTCGATTTTCTTGGTTGTACAGAGAACAATACCTAGCTGAGATATTGTAAGGAGGAGTATGCAGCAAGATTTACAAAACCAACGTTATTCTTACCCAGATTTGTGATGCTTTCCTTTAGCCTGATGTCATAGTCATGGTCTGAGCAGAATAACTGAAAGGGAGACACTTGGAGTGGTTTGATGAGTGCAAATCAGTCATAGTCAAGATTAGGCACTACAGCACCACTCCTACCCACTGTCCCTACTCACTACCCCTTGCCCCTCACCAGCCCCCTAACCCCAGTTGGGGTAAGGACAGATATTTGTAAAAGGGAGTTTAATTTTTTTACAAACGGTGAAGACCTTTGGTAACATATCCAGTTCTTATTGTTGTTTGAGGAGCCAAATCTTTTTCTTTTAACTTTATTAAGTCATTAAATTTGAATTCCAGTAGAGTTAACATACAGTGTTATATTACTTTCAGGTGTACAATATAGTGATTCAACAATTCTATACATCTCCCAGTGCTCATCATAAGTGTACTCTTTAATCTCCATCACGTATTTCACCCATTCCATCACTCACTCGTCCCCTGGTGACCATCCATTTGTTCTCTGTAGTTAAGATTCTGTGGGAGCCAAATCTGTTCTGAGGCTGTGTTTAAGTGTTGAATTCAGCCTTAAGGGCAAATGTAAGAGGCATACTGGAACGCTCAATGTAGCAAGAAAGGAGCAAACTGAGGGGAGCTCCTGTCAAGAGCACAGGAGGCCTGTGTGGGCACCCACCATCCTAAAACACCAAAAAAACAAAACAAAACAAAACCCACAAAACTCCCTAAAAGTTGGAAAACAGTGATTTTCAGGTACTGATCCATAGTCAAAATTGGAAAGATTCATATCATAGGTTCTTAATTAGAATCACTTGAATCTCCCCCCATCTTCCTCACCAAAAGTAATTGATACATCCTTCATATTAATGCTCAATTTCAAAATTCGTGTATCATCTGGGAGTCTTGGGGATAGTTAAGGGCCCACTTAATAAACAGAAAATTTTCAATCAGCACTTACCCCATTGTATTATGGGCTTGGTTCTCCATGTCAAGAAATTGCTGCATCTGGTTTGTTTCTTGATTTTTAATCTATTAGGGGAAAAATGATCTAGATCACTAAAACACTTACACTTATTAACCTATAAAACAAGAAAATTCTGCTCTTAGCAAACCACGTAGTGTGAGCTTCTCCAAGTGTAGCAGCTCTTGGTGCTACAAAACGTAGAACATTAGGGCCTTTTTAAAAAATTCCCCCACGCATTTAGGACACTGGTTTAGCTATGAGTCGAAATCCATGGTATTGGCTGAAATGAGCAGTCATTCACTATTTCCTGAACAACACCCTGGTGCCAGGTACTTTGCAAAGTGCTCATCACCCGAGATAAGTCAAACCGGATTCCTATGGTAGAGGAGTTACAGCTAAATGTTCTCAAACTTTCTTTTCTTGTCTGCTAAAAGTTTGCCTTGTATTTGAGTCAACTCCTTCTTTGGCCCTTCCCGGGTTTTGTTGGAACGAATATACTATGAGATTTAGGACAAACAGGCTAAGAGTGGCCTGAAAATAAAAATCTTACAATTCTGCAATGGCTCTGTGGGCACCTGCTTACCTGGATGTTGGTGCTTGCCTTCAAGAAAGAGGAGGGAGGAACAAGTTCATCCCAGCAACAAGGTGTCAATTAAAAAATGGCATGTGAGGATCATTGGACAAAGGATCGAAGAGAACTTCAACTCCTGAGTCACTGCATCAAAGTCAACGAAACAGCATTCAAGGGGGAGGAGGAGGGAGACTGCCGGCTCCGGCCCTTCCAGACCGAGGAGTCGGAGGCTCGGGGAGCAGGAGGCGGGGACCGCGGCGTCGGAACCACAGCCCGGCCCGGACGGACCGAGGGCTAAACTGCCTGCGCGGGTTCCTGCGCCACCTGCGACCCTCGCTTGGGCGCCCGGGCAACGAGGCACCGAGAAGCGAGGCGCCCGCCCCCGCCCCCGCAGGCCGCGCCGAGCCCCGAGCCCCGAGCCCCGAGCCCCGAGCCCCGAGCCCAGGCCCGGCGGCTTACCTGCGCCGCGCTCCCGGGAGGCCCGAGCCGGGGGCCCCGCCCGCCCGCGCGCCCGCCGAGCCGCCCGCCCGGGCCGTTAGGGCCTCCCGGTCCCGGAGCCGCCCGCCCGCCGAGCCGCCCCTGGTTGCCACGGGGACGCGGCCGAACTCGGGGCCGCCCGGAGCGGGGGCGGGGCTGGCGGCGGCGGCCGTGCGGGGCTCGGGTAGCGCCCCCGGGCCCGGCCGCTGGGTGCTCGGCGGAGGCCCCCCCGAGACCGCTGCCTGGGTCCTGCCTCAGGACCACCCGGGTCGGGCACCCAGCGGGGCGGACAGGGAAGGAAGGGGGGCACGGGGTCTGCGGCCACGGTTCGTTTCGTTTTTCTTTCCTTTCTTTTCTTTTCTTTTCTTTTCTTTTCTTTCTTTTCTTTTCTTTTCTTTCTTTTCTTTCTTTCTTTTCTTTCTTTACTTTTCTTTCTTTACTTTTCTCTTTTCTCTTTTCTTTTCTTTTCTTTTCTTTTCTTTCTTTTTTCTTTTTTCTTTTCTTTCTTTTCTTTTCTTTCCTTTCCTTTCCTTTCCTTTTTTTCTTTTCTTTCTTTTCTATTAAAGGGCCTTTCCTACGCCCGCCGTGGGGCTCGAACTCACCACCCAGAGATCAAACGTTGCAGGCTCTACTGAGAGCCAGCGAGGCGCCCTGACATCCAACTTCCTTAAATCCCCCCCGACCCTCTTCCCTCTCCCCCATGTTTGAAATGGTATAAAAACTAAAATAGACTTGGGGCAGAGAATTGCCTCTCTCTTCACCAAGGCGTCTTTCACCTCAGAAGAGCTTGGGGGGCGGTGTTTCAAGTGCACTGCGGGGTGCACAGCCACTCAGGTTATCACGACGCAGCAACGGCACCCTCCTCCCCACGCAGCACACCGGGTCCTTCGCACTACTTTGCCGGAGAAGGAAACACCTCCCAAGTGGGGAAAGGCGGAGGGAACCCGGTGCCTGGTTCCAAATTCTTTTCTTTTTTCACTAAATTCCAAGAATAATTGATGATAGAAGCTCTGTCTCACATCTCTGATTTTAAAGAACAGGAAAGAATATATGCATATAGACCTGTACACACACACACACAATTTTTTCTATTGACACCTTAAGTAATATTTTTAAGCACTTGAATTTGTATTTGGAAAATACTTCTGCATCAATTTTAAGAACAGCATTCTTCTCAAAACCCAGTTGATCAACATCTAATTCTTAAAATCTTTGCACTCCACGTTCATAACATAAACATGAATTTGCTACTTAACATGGCTGTCAACTTAACATGGATCCCAATCCCTCCATTCGGGTTCCTTTTGAATTTCAAAAAACCATTTGCTGTTTCTTGACAAATTGACTTTCATAGATGAATTGTGTAAAGTACCTTAGGTTATTCGTTCTAGTAAGTGTTTCTCATTATGATTGAATGAAGAGAGTGATCATTTCATCTTAACTTGAAACTTTCCATTATTCTGAAAACCTTAAGTCATATTCTTTATTCTTGTCTAAACTTAATGGGTCAGTGTAGTTATTCTGACCTGAAGAGGGGAAACTGGAAGTAGGAACAAAATTTAATGAAGTTTCAGGATGCCCTGTATCACTCGTGCTGTGTGGCGCTTTACCATTGGTAAAGACTTTCATGCTCATTATTTCCTTAGATGCTCACAAGTACGGCGTGACACATGTGTAACAGGGTTCTTACAGCTCCTTTTAGCAGATTAGGAACGTAAACCTCAGAATAATGGATTTGGCCAGGATTACACATCTGGTTCAAACGCAGCTAAGCTAATGAATCTCGATCCTCTTAGTCTAAACTTAGTGCTCCTCAAACTCGGTCCAAAAAATTAGGTTTCTTGAGCACACAGAATCTGGCTATAGGTGTGTTTAAAGCCACATTTTCACAAGACAGAAGGGGAATGAGCAGGGCTTACAAAGTATCTGATGGAGTTTAAAAAAAAATTTAAATATAGAATGGAAACACTCCATTCAATTTAATAGGAATAAAGGCTTTCATAATGAGATGAAAGTTAATGCAAAGACTGACCTACCCAGTCCCCCACCCACTCCCCCCTTCAAGTAAGAAGTAAGTGCAGAGACTGGAATTTACCCTGAAATGTACCTATTATTGTATCTTTTTCACATGAAATTGTTTTGAAAGGGATAAGCGAAGTAGGAGGTCCCTGAGTCCAAAGGAGGGTAAGAGTGTGACCAGGCTGCTGCCAAGAGATGGCAAGAAAGTTCAGTACTGGAAGAGAATGGGAGGATACAGCAAGGCCACAATAAGATGTAAAATATAACCAGAAATGGTCAAAAGACAGTACAGGAGACATATATGTCTGAAGAATGAGAATGATCTCTGAAGAAGCTAGGGGACCAACTATATAAAATAAATAATAATCATGGCCATAGACTGAACCTTAAAAATGGAAAAAATGATCATTAACAAAGTAGTTTTCACAGCAAAATTTAGGATTACAGCACAGAAAATGAAAGTACACTTGAGCATATGCAAAGTTATATAATTAGCTTAAAGTCTGTCTTTTTAAGAAAGGAAATACTTATTTTTATAGTATCTTCTAAAGAAGGTTCAAAAATTATATATACGTCATAACAAAAAGCTAAATCTATCTTATCCATGGAAAATATTTTATTTTTTAAAGATTTATTTATTTATTCATGATAGACAGAGAGAGAGAGGCAGAGACACAGGCAGAGGGAGAAGCAGGCTCCATGCACCGGGAGCCCGATGCGGAACTCGATCCCGGGACCCCAGGATCGCGCCCTGGGCCAAAGGCAGGCGCCAAACCGCTAAGCCACCCAGGGATCCCCCATGGAAAATATTTTAGAAGAAATTTTAACATAATAACAATAATCAAATAATCATAGAACTGGAAGAAACCAGAGGGGACCTAGTTCAACCCTTTCATTTTACGTAAAGAAACTCAGGCCCAAAGAGTTAAAATGATTTGACTACTTTCATTGCTAGTTAATAACAAACATTGAGATTAGAACCCAGGTGCTTTTTCTTATTATATCACACCACTTCCATACATGGAAGCAAATTAAAGAATTTTCTGGAAAAACTTCAATTGTTGAGAAAAATAACTATTCAGGAAGAGGAAATTCAGTCTTTAGAACCAAGATTACCCTAGAGGCAGCACTGTCCAATAGAAATATAATGCAAAGCACTTATGTAATTTTAAATATTGTAGTAGTAAAATTAAAAAAATAAAAGTAGGTGAAGTTAGATGCAATAATATATTTATCTAACTCAATATATCCAACATATTATTTCAACATATAGTCAATATAACAAATTATTGAGATGTTATACATTCTTTTTTTTCATACTAAGTTTTCAAAATCTGATGCAGAGTTTATACTTACAGCACAATCAATTCATAGAGCAGTATTCAAGCGCTCAATAGCCACACATGATTGGTGGCTACCATACTGGACAGCACAGTCCCAGAAAACAGGTTCCTGGCCAATGTACTAAAGTGCTTTGGTTGTTAAGTGCAAGGGGTCATGCAATGAGAGAGATTCTAAATTATTTGGATATAATTTGAGAGGACCTATGAAAGTCTCCTTCATCAAAAACCTCGTTAATCATCTCGAGGTTGGAAGAGGGACCAGACATCTGCAGAGAAATATGTTACTGGGACCCTTAGGCAGGCAGGAAAAGTCTTTCACTTCATTATGATTCACAGTCCTATCAATTCTCCTAGTAAGGGCTGCATCTCCAAAGTTAATTAAGAGTAAATGGGGAGGCCTTACCTCTTAGTTTTGGCTGGCCAGGGGCCTACAAGCCAAAGGACTGTGTCCTCTTGATGGGAGTCATAAACAACAGGTCTTATTGTAGGTTCAGAAAACAAATTATTTGGAATATACCAATCATAATTTTTTCCTTTGCTTTTCCTTCTTATAGACCCTTAGTGTTTTATTTTTATTTATTTATTTATTTTTTTGACCCTTAGTGTTTTAGCACAGTGGTTTTGAAAAGTGATCC